CAATTCCGACAGATAAAAGTTACATAAAGAATAGTTTTGAACTGGTTAAAAAATTATCGAATATCAGGATTGAAGATAAATTTTCATTAATATCGTTAGACGTTGTATCTTTATTTACTAATATCCCGATTGATTTGGCGATTGAATACTTAGCTAACAAATGGGTTTTTATCTCCAAGGACTGTAAAATATCAAAGGATGAATTTTTGGGTGCTATACGGTTAATTTTAGAATCCACCTTTTTTATTTTTGACGATCGGATTTACAAACAGAATTTCGGAACACCCATGGGCTCGCCACTTTCTCCGATTGTGACTGATATAGTAATGCAAGATTTAGAGAATGAAGTGTTTGAGACATTTGATTTTAATATACCTTTTTTCTATAGATATGTGGACGATATTTTAATGGCAGTACCAGATGATTACGTCCATGACAAGGAAGTTTAATTCAATACACTCGAGATCACAATTTACTTCGGAAATTGGTGGTAGCCAGATTAACTTCTTAGATTTACATCTCTTTTCATTGAAAATAATACTATTATATTCGATTGGTACTACAAATCAATATTCTCGGGTAGATACTTGAATTTTTATGTCTCGGCATCCCATCTCACAGAAGAGGGGTACGGTCATAGGTATGGTAGACAGGATCTTTTATCTCTCACATCCACAATTTCATGGAAAGAATTTTGATTTGTGATTAAAACGCTCTTACAAAATGATTATTTTGGATTTTATTTTTAAAACAATTAACAGTAGAATCAAATTTTTAATTTATAATTGTAAGAAAAAATACAATAACGACGACACAATATACATTGTTAATAACAAAATCCTGTGGTTTACTCTATCTTATGTAAAAGATGTCACTGAAAAATTTAAAAATATATTAAAAGATACAGAAACCAAATTAGCCATTTAGTATCAATAAATTAAACAATTTTATTAAGGTACAGAAAGATCCTCTTCCGGATAAAATTTCCGGATAAAAAAAATGTTATTTACAAGATACAATACACTGATTGCGATGCATTTTACGTGGGTCGACAATTGAAAACGAGAATCAATGTACATCGGAGTCACATAAGATGAAATACCTCTACACATTTAATCATTATTGACTACAGGGTACACACAGGACGATTTCGATTGGGTTAACGTGAAAGTTCTGGATGTGGAGAAAAATTGCAAACGATTAATTCTAGAAATGCTACACATCATACTACAAAAAAAACGGTATCAATTTGTAAACAGACACAGAATTTCTTAGCCATATGTACATCCCTGTCATAAATAATATGTAAGCAATATGTAACCGTATTCCATAACAATTTTTTACTTTCTATCCTCGTTATTTATCATTTTACATTTTAATAATTGATCAAAACAGTTAAGACGTGTTTATTTCTTTTCTTTTTTACTAACTGACTATTATCTTATATCTCTGTTAAAAATTTTTTTATTTCTTTTAATTGTGATCATGCTATTGCAATATTCAGTATTTATTTCCTTCTGTGTATAAGTTATTGTCATAATCGGCGATATCATCGAGATGAGTCTCCAACAGTTCCTTGTTCTTCTCATTTTTAAACACATTAAAAAACTTTATTTTGTGAATATATTGTAAGAAATAATATTCTCGGAGAAAAATTAACGAAGCGACTGAGATTCGAACTCGAAATCCTTTATTTATGAATCTGACACTCAATCTGCATGACCATAACAGCTTTGTTCTTATAACAATCTTCGAGTCCTACCAACTATTTAAGTCTTACGGCTTTTATATTCGTACAACTCGATCATTCTGAAAATTACATTCGTCCGCGAATGTACTTCGTTCTTTCGCCGCCCTCAGCGACGCTACGCTTCAACAAACTCAACTCTTTTTCGGATTCAACATTTCATACTCGTCTTCATCACAGAATAACTCACAGAAAGGTTAATTCCGACACTTCCTTAAGCTCGATCAACCTCCATCAACATCCTCTACGTTTTCGTCTCTCAATTCAGATTCGGCACGAGTCGTGTAGGAATCCTTTCAATCCCGGACGAGGCCCAAAATTTTGCAGGAAATAATATTTTCGGAGAAAAATTAACGAAGCGGCTGAAATTCGAACTCGGGATCATTTATGAATCTGACACTCAGTCTGCACGATCACAACAGCTTCGCTCTTATAACAATCTCCTACCAACTATTTAAGCCTTACGACTTTTATATTCCTACAATATCATAAACAGTTTAAATGATATTGATACAGTATCGTCTACATCAGCTGTGGAACTGTTTGGACAGAGGTCCTCGAGATATTGCACTATTGCGTTTATCGATGCGAATCGGAGAAATCATGAACTAATACGGATTCAAACTATTCTTATCATGTATATATGTATATATCTACTGAAGATAATCCGAAAATGGGTCGAAACGTCTGGATGTGAGAAGAACCTTAAATAGATAGGATTTAACAGATAATTATTTGCGCTTCACTGCATTTGACTCCTATTGCCGTTATTGTCATTTTTATTGTTTTTCTAATTAAAGGAGTCCTCCTATTTTAATCTTATTGTTTTGATATTCATATATATTCATACATATTATTGTATTGTATATACGAACAAAAAATATTTGATGGGAAAAGTAATCTATTAGGTGTACAAAAAAGTTCTGAGCTTTAGATTTCATATAACCGAAATAACAATTTAAATTTTATATATCTTCCCGCCCTTTTACGGTTTTAAAGCATTGACATTTGGCCTTCTAAAATGCCATACGGTTTGACGTTTGATGCACATAACCTCAAAAATCAGTAGTGTTCATGATGGCAATAACAAAAGAGCATATTCGATTTTTCATCCATTTCGCGTTTCATCTGAAGAAAAATGCTACTAAAGCCACTGCAATGATTTGTGCTGCATATGAAGAGAACGCTGTAAGTCATACTACATGTAAAAGATGGTATCAAAAATTTCACCAGGGAGATTTCATTCTTGAAGATGAACTGCGTGCTGGACGCCCTCAAAAGATTGAAACGGACGAATTGCAAGCACTGTTGGATATAAACTCTGCGCAAACTGAAAAGAAGCTTGCAGAACAGCTTGGCGTTACGCAGCAAACCATTTCCGTACGTTTACATACGATGAGAAAGGTTCAGAAGGAAGGCAGATGGATTCCGCATAAATTGTCCGAAGACAACAAAAATCGTCGGCGTGACACTGCACTCACTTTGCTTTCAAAGTTCCGGAAAAAAGATTTTCTACACAAAATCATTACATGCGATGAAAAGTGGATTCTTTATGATAACCCTAAACGTAGAAAATCATGGGTTGACCCTAGTCAACCTTCGACATCGACGCCAAAGCTCAATATCCACGCCAAGAAGGTTTTGTTCTGTATCTGGTGGGATTGGAAAGGTGTGTTGTATTACGAGTTGTTACAACCGAATGAAACAATCACGGCAGACCGCTACCAACAACAATTGACCAATTTGAGCGATGCATTAGAAGAAAACAGGCCACTTACTGGCCAAGGACGTCATAAAGTGATTTTGCTTCATGACAATGCTCGATCACATGTTGCGAAAGCGACTCAGGACCATATCTTTGCGTTAGGCTGGGAACTTCTCCCGCACGCGGTGTATAGCCCAGACATGATGTCTTTCGATTATTACCTATTCCGGTCGCTACAGCATCATTTGGCTGATACACATTTCATGAGATTTGAAGAGACACGAAAATGCATTGATGACTTTATCGCTTCGAAGCCGGTGAGCTTCTATCGCAAGCTACCCGAAAGATGGCAAAAGGTCGTTGATGCAAACGGGGAATATTTCGCTGATTAATATTTTTTTTTGTTTTTGAATAAAGATTGAATTTTACAAAAAAAGCTCAGAAGCTTTTTTGTATACCTAATATGAAAGACAAGGGCACCATAAGGCGTACGTGAATTCGAAAGCATTGCTATTAGCATTGTTTTAAGTATTGAAAAAGAAATAAGTGACAAGTTTCTAAGGAGGATGAAATCCGTGCTTGAAACTATGAAAATGAAAGAACCAAACGCAATATGCACTCACATTGCGAATTTTAGAGAAAAAAATTATTTATTTATAAGAATATGTAGATTACTTCTTCTTTCACTTTATAGCTTTAACCACAAATTTTATATCGAGTTTTAAACTACGTTAACGGTTAAACCCAATGGTTTAAACACCGAGCTAAATCCAAAGAAAGATAAAATTAATATTATCGAATTAACTGTTATATGAAAAATTTACTTATTTCAGATAGTGGATGTAAATGACTCTTTACTCTGACGTATTCCTCTGAAGTAATAACTCGAAAAATTACAAGAATAAGAGAAACACATCCATATAAGAAAATGTTAGCATCGAGAAAAGTGAAAAAATAAAATCGCCGCGCTGGGAGGGACTCGTTAAGCCTGATGACACATCGCACGATACTGCGACTTAAGGCAACCAGCACAGTTAAGCAATCAGAAGATTCTAGTATCTAAGTGGCCAATTGACAACGAGATATTGGATCTGTCGCGCCAAAAAATAGAAATAAATCCATTCTGAGATAAATTCTGAAGAAAACAGCAACTCTGAATGAAAACAGTAACTCAAACTCTCTTATATCATTTAAAAAATAAATATTATCATTGTTAAAAATGCAATTAAAAAGGCAAACAAGGGGGCCCCCATATCCCTGGAGAAAGGAGGGATGAGGGGGAGGGAGGGTCATAGGATCCCCGGGGGTTCGCATCCGGGAGGAGATCCCCCTGGCGGTCGTCGAAGTAATTATTTCTTCTCGGTCAGTAGGAATGGTTTCCCCCCTGGCGGTCGGGAGGTGGTTTCTCCCTGGCGGTCGGGGGGGTGGTTTTTTCCTCGGTGTGGCTTCTAGGGGATAGTTCTTCTCGCCGCAGGTCTGACGAGAGGACGCCACGCGGTCTTTCGGCGTCGCCCGCGGGTCCGGCGAGAGAATGTCGTGCGTCCTATTTTTTAGGATGCTGCGGTTAGGCGTGCGTCTTCTACGAGGCTTTGCGCAGGACGCCGCGCGGTTCTTCGGCGTCGTTCGCGGGTCCGGCGAGAGAATGTCGCGCGTCCTATTTTTTTAGGATGCCGCGGTTAGGCGCGCGTCCTGTGTCTAGGCGTCTTCTATAGGGCCTAGCGCATCCTGTTTCTCGTATGGAGTCTAGCGACAGGAAGGCGCGCGTCCTGCGCGTTTCTACGGGACTTTGCGCGTCCCGAGATGAAAGAATGCCGCGCGTCCTGTTTTTCAGGATGTTGCGGTTAGAGCGTCTTCGTTTTGCGCGTCCCGAGGCGACAGGACGCCGTCTTTTCGTCGGGAGGATGTCGCGATTTGGCGTGTCTTCAACGCTGCCTCAGATATATCTAGTCGCGAGAGGCATTTTTTTTCATTGTTAAGAACGTGATATATGGAAGAATTCGCGCTTAATGGCGGTTCGACTTCGAGCGAGAGTGACAATCCACTTCCGCGTGTTCGATCATATCGTAACACATCGCGATTTCGACAGCGATATCGGTGATGACGATCGTTGCGAGTCGGTTATCGGTTAGATTATGATGATGCGATAGATTTTGAACCTCAAAATACTATTGATAATTTTCAAGAACGTCTTACTGAAGTTTTCGTACGCAGTAATATATTTCATACGCAAATAAATGCTATTTTACAGGTTGTTCGAACACATTCTTATTTATCCACGTTGCCAAAGGATTGTAAAACGTTCTGAAAACTCCACGGATCGCGCATCTCATACTTAACATTGCAAGAGGTGAATATCTCCACTTAGGATTTGAGGCAGGAATTCTTTCCATTCTTCAACAAACCTTTCCGGAATTAATTCCACTTGATACTTTGATGGTAGACTTTAGCACTGATGATGCCACACTGGATAGACAAAGCAAAATTCAAATGTGGCCGATACAAATTAGCATTGCAAATATTCCTCGAAGTAAACCTACAATTGTAGGCATTTGGCGTTCATTGAAATCAACTAACGCGAAGAAATTATTTCAATCTTTTGTGGATGAAGTTCGAGATGTATTAAATCGTGAAGGAATTATTTTTCATAATCAACAAAAATTTAAATTGAGGTGTTTTATAGCTGATTCTCCTGCGCGAGCTTTTGTTTTAGGTCATAAAGGTCACGGTAGTCTATTTCCGGTGTTCGAAATGTTGGATTCGAGTAGTTGCTTATCGTGATATTCAAAATAGGCCCCGTACAAATGAAAAGTACAAACATCACATTGATGGAGAACATCATACAGATTTTGATTCTGCTTTGCTTTCTTTAAGGATGGGGTTGGTAACTCAAACGGTCTTCGACTACATGCACACAGTTTGTCTTGGTGTTGTTCCCAAAATAAGTAGCGTTCTTGTAAATGTAATCCAAATTTAAAACTTTCAGTGAAGTCAGATCACTTGAAATTATGACGAAACGTTTGCAGCAAGTTAAAAATTACTGTCCTAAGGAATTTTTGCGAAAACCGCAATTAATGAAAAAATATGAAGGATTTAAGACTACGAAAAATCGTCAATTTCTTCTGTATACTGCCCCAGTTATTTATTACGGACTCGTAAAACCTGTTATGTACAAACATTTTCTTCTATTACATTCCGCCATTCGAGTTCTAGTCAGTTCTTTCTTATCGGAAGACCGTCTTGATTTTGTACAAAGCATTAAACATTTTTGTGAATAGAGCAGAAGATATATATGGTCCAGAATTTCTTTCATACATTATTCATTGTCTTTTACATCTCTAGATGACGTGAGACATTTTGGTTCATTAAATGAATTGTCTATGTTTCCATATGAAAATAATATGATGTATTTTCGCAATGCTTGCCGCAAATCTCATCAACATTTACAGCAAATCGTAAATAGGCGACATGAAAAGTTTCAAATTACACAAAATATTGTAAATATAACTAAGGAAGTGGTGCGTTCCAGTAAGGTCTGGGTTAGTCCTGTTCTTTTTGATGCTCCATTAGATAATCGTCAGTTTCACATCTTAGATACAGGAAAATTTCGTTTATCGGTGAAGAATCAGGATAAAACGATAATATTACACAATTCAAAGCTTTGTCTTATTCAGAGTATCACTCTCTCGCATGATCATTATCAGTTGGTGGTTAAAGAGTTTCGCAGAGTTGAAGATTTTTTCGTAATGGATTTGTCATCGTCATCAGTAGGTATGTTTCGATGTTCTTTATTATCTGATGAAGTTATTATTATAGATCTTATATTATTATAGATTATAGATATTATAGATCTTAGTGAAGTGCGAAATAAGTGTTTCCGCATGCTTTATTGACACACTGAAGACCATATAGATACTATTATTAATGTTTGGATAGTTGCAGTCATTCTACATACTATGGCTCAGAATAGCTTTCATTACGTGAATTCTCTTTAAGACGTTCCACACAAGCTTTTCCGTAACGCGTAACATTACGTACGTAAAATATGATGATAAACCTGTACATGAACTTGAATTTCAGTCAAGGCACAAACAAAAACGGTAGATAGTATCATGCGTTATGATTTTCTTTGTGCATTGATTAAAGCTCAAGTTTATGGGTTGTACAGCTTTAGTTTATGGTTAGTATAAATAATGTTATGCATTACGGAAGTGTTCTCGTGAAGAGTTTAATTTTTTTTAAGATGAGTCAACGAAGATGAGGAAGAAGAAAAGAAGCGGACGAGACATTCAAAGCGTTGCAATTGCTAGATAAAGATATTGAAAAATATTCCACATCTCAAAAATACAATACAAGGACATATGACCACACCCAAGATTATACAAAACCAGACACCATTATCACAATATTCACAATATTCACAATCGTCAGAATCATCCTTACATGTTCCATCATCATCATCATCATCATCATCATCATCATCATCATCATCATCATCATCATCATCATCATCATCATCATCATCATCATCATCATCATCATCATCATCATCATCATCATCATCATCATCATCATCATCATCATCATCATCATCATCATCATCATCATCATCATCATCATCATCATCATCATCATCATCATCATCATCAGTCATCATCATCATCATCATCATCATCATCATCATCATCATCATCATCATCATCATCATCATCATCATCATCATCATCATCATCATCATCATCATCATCATCATCATCATCATCATCATCATCATCATCATCATCATCATCATCATCATCATCATCATCATCATCATCATCATCATCATCATCATCATCATCATCATCATCATCATCATCATCATCATCATCATCATCATCATCATCGTCGTCGTCGTCGTTGTCGTCGTCGTCATCGTCGTCGTCGTCGTTATCGTCGTCGTCTTCGTCATCATCACGATCATTATCATTACCTGCATATTAACGGATCATGGATAATATACAGCGCGATCAAAAACCAAATTGTGTACCTAGGTTTTTGTGATCGATACGGCCTCGGTCCAAAGGGATAACATGCATAAAAAAATTTTTAA